TGCTCATTCTCTTATTCATTCTTTCTCTGTTTAGCAGAACTCATTAAGACTCTGCTTACTTCTATGAAAAACATTTAAATAAGAAACAATTAGCTACACACACACACACACACACACACACACAGAGTCTAACTCTAAAACAAAAGATGAAAGGATTTATTCCCCATAGAAAAGTTGCTGCCAACAAAACTTCCTCTTTCTATAAAGCAACAAAGCCCCCAGCTTTCTCTTTCATCTGAAATGTCAAAAAATAGTGGAGGCCATCCAAGGCCATTATCCTTTCTAAGGATCTTCAGCCTCCTCTAACATGGGAATCCGGATGAAGAGGCCAATGAACTGGAACTCACAATGTAACCACCAACCTAATTAACAGTAAGAAAATGCTATAGAATAGCTCCTGTTTATACAAACAAGGTCATTAACAACATTAAAGATTTAATGCTGTCATAAATTTTAATACAATATTTTAAATATAAGTGAGTTAATCATTCTCAAAAGTAAATTTACTTAGTAAGAAATCCCCAACTGTTTAATATTTGCTTACATTCATAAATTTCCTTTTGTCATATCTGAGGGTTTACAGGATTGGCACTGGCTTTAGCTCTAAAAATCAGTCAAACTAATGCATATTCATTAAGTGGCAACTCAATACAGATTGATGGTACTTATCTTGGTTCTGTTACCAAGGGGAGAGAGAACTTGAGCAAATCACAGCCTCACTGGATGTCAAATGAGAAAATGAGAGTTGTATTAAATGATTATTAAGGTTTCTTCCAGCTCTAACTAACTGTAGTTGTTTAATTTTACATGGTTTGAAAATGCCAGGTATTGAGGAATATGCCACAGTAGCATAATAACACAGCCCTTCCACTCATGCACTGAAAGTCCATGATAAAATGCAAACGTGTCATTTGGAAAGAGATGGCATTAAGACAATATCAGCCATCACCATATGACGAGCCATTTTCATTCAGGAGGACTTAGCTCCAGGGAGCTACAGAGTCCCCAGGAGCAGCATTTGCCAGGAAGAAAAGGACTGAAGCAGGCATTAAAAATCAAATGCCTATGGAAGCTCGGCAAAGAGCATAAATAAATGAGGAGAACTGGGTGGGAATTGTGAAAAAATTGGAAGCTACTCATCCGCTCCAGTCAGTTGTTGCCTTTGAGGAATGTAGGCATCCTACCTTTAGGTACGTTATCCTACCTTTAGATTTTTTCCAAAGAAACTCAAAAATCTGTAAAAACTCTTGATTTTAAAATGTTGATTCAAAATAGTTTAACTTCGTACAAGCCAAATGTGCATCTACATCAGAGACATCTGTAGGACACCAAATTTGAGACCTCTAATGTGTGGCACTGTGAGGCCCAGGAATAAAACATAGGGAAGGGTGGCACATGAGAAATGGGAGGAAGGGTGCAGTGAAAGAGGATGGAAGTGGCTCAAACTGTATCTGAGGTTGGCTCTGCTGAGGGAAATCAGAAAAGCAAGCAAGCTTGGAAGGAAAAAGACATTAGAACAAGGGTTCTGTTAAAAGAAAAACTTTAGCTGAATTAAATTTAAAAGGGTTTAATTGAGCAAGGAACAATTCAGGAAGCGGGCAGCCTTCCCAGACAGAGTAGGCTCAGAGACTCCAGCACAGCCACGTGGTGTAAGAAGAGTTATGGACAGAAAAAGGAAAGTGACATACAGAAAACAGAAGTGAGATGCAGAAACAGCTGGATTGGTTATAGCTCAGTGTTTGCCTTATTTGAACATGATTTGAACAGCTGGCAACTTTGGCCACAACTTTGTGATTGGCACAAGAGTAAGCTGAAGTCTGTATAAAACTCCATTTAGGCTATAGTTCATGATGAACAGAGAAACCTTTAGGCTGAACTTAAAATATGTAATGAGGCAGCTTTAGGCTAACCTTGGTTTAACAATTCTAAATCTTCTCTGGGGTCACGTGTTTTCAAACTTGGATGCAGAAAGACATTCGGACAGGGGTTCTAAATATTTTCTGGGGTTATGTGTGCCATATGAGAGTCTGATAAATGTTTTAGAGATTTTCACTAGAAAAATAAACATACATGTAGTGGACAGAAAAATGGCTCCCCAAAGATGTCCATGTCTTCATCCTGTCCCTCCTCTGCCACCTTACGTTATGTGAAAAGGGACTGTGAAGATGTAATTAATGACCTTGAGGTAGGGAAATTATCTGAATGAGCCCAATCTATTCACATGAAACCTTAAATCAAAAATGTTTCCCAGCCATGATCAGAGAGAGATGTGATTACGGAAGAATGATCAGAGAGATGCAATGTTGGTGGCTTGAAAACGGAGGAAGGGACCATGAGCTATGGAATGTGGGCAGCCTCTGGAAACTGGAGAAGGCATGGGAATGGACAGATCCTTCCCTAGAGCCTCTAGAAAGGGAAGCAACCCTGCCAACACCCTTTTTTTTGGAGGGGGTGTGACCCAGGGAGACACATGTTGGACTTCTATCCTACAGAACTATGAGATAATAAATTTCTGTTGTTTAAAGCCACAAGTTTGTGGTCAGTCATTACAGTAGCAATAATAGAGTATATATACACAGAAACTTGGGCAAAAACTTTCATAGACCTTCCTGAACCTCATCCTCAGAAATACATAAAAGCTCCTTGTGCTCAAAAGAACTCAATATACAACATGACAGCTCTGAGTGCTATAGGTATGAAACTAGTTGGCATTCCTGGAAAGATCAATGCCCACCTCGGGACCTCAATCCACTCCAAAATCTCACTTCTACTAAGATAGATTTATTTTCTGAAGAATAACTACTCCTTCCAGCCTCATCCAAGTGATGTGTGACCCCAAGGAGCAAGGTGGCTCCTTGCTACAGAGAGCTCTTTCTTCCTTTTCTTACAGTGTTCATTATGTTAATAGCATTCTCCCCCAACCCATCATCCCAACAAAAGTGGCATTTTACACCTGCTGAGACTTAGCCTGTCTTAGTCCTTCATTCTGAACCAGACCTAGGTCTGGAGTATCCCATTACAGTATCATGTCTCTATCGAGATCCTATTCAGCATGATATGCCCAAACCTGGCCAGATGCTAGCTTAAAACAGAAGAGGAATGTTATCAGGAATGTGAGCTACCTGATTCAAAGATGTTTTTAGTCTCAGATATTATTTCACCAGTTCATCAAATTTCACAATCCCTGTAATATTTTGAGATGGATTTTTTTTAAAACTTCCATTACAATGTCCCTTGGTGATGTCACCATGGTTCTGATAAATAACTGTAGTTTAAAGGTTACTTAACGAACAATACTACACATAACTGCCCTCACAGCACTCCTGATATGTAACTTAGCACCAGATCCTGAGATTGCTGACAGTGGTGCACAGAACAGTCTGGAATGTTGCTAGGTCAGAAAGTTCAATTCTGTGAAAATGGGACATGAAAGAGGGGAGAATTAAAATTAATTCTCCCATTGGGAGAATTGAAAAACAACAAGGTATTTATGATCCTATGAAGGTTTGCTAAAGAGCAGAGGAAGAGAGATACAAAATGGGACACACAATGGTTTTAAGTTTACTGAACATCAAGCATCTAAATGCAAACACCATTTTCCCCTATTGGCCTCTGTTAAATATCCACCCCAACAGGACCATCAAATATTCTATATATAAGCATGAATGACTTTGTTCTGGTTTTTATTTGTTTTGTTTGCTTTTATACTATTTTGAAATTTGCATGAGGATATAGTTGACTTTATTCTTGCTGAGAGAGATAGTCATCAGGCTGGTGGGTGACTGACTAAATTGACTCTAGTAGCAAATAATAGCTTTCTTACAATAATACCTCAAATAGAAGGGAGAATGTCCTGATTAGTGGAGAAATTATAAGGCTGAATCCAACAGGTATTACCTGAGGTCAGGTAAGAGTAAACACATAAAAGAAGTCAGCTCATGAAGAGGGTTATAAAAGGTGCCCATGAATCCACCCATACAGTGAAGCACCCTACCTTTGAGGTCTCCTTCAACCCTTTGAAGTTCTAATATTCTAAATTTAGTATATTGGATATTTAAAAGTACAACTGCATAGCACAGCCAATCTTCTCTGTAGTTGTTGATTTAGACTGTGCTGCCTTAGAAAAACAATTCTAAAGGTCAGGCTCAGAAGCACAGCCCTCCCTTTCCACTGAGTGAGGGCTATGATTACACTGTACACAAGATCCTACAAAGACAGCTGACACAACTAGCGATTGAATTCTTTCTTCTGTTTATTTCCAGAAGAGACTTTCCATAGACAGCTGCAATGCCAGGCTCCCCATCAGAATGTCATGCCAACCTTTCTGCAGGCTGCTTTCCACCCACATCCTTGCTCTGGATCCAGGGCTTTCTCTAGCAGGTCCAGCAGGCTAGAGAGACCATCCCTGGGGCTACGTCAGGGCTAAGGTCACTGGAAGACACTTGGGTCAGCACAGAATCTGCACCTGCCATGCTGCAATCAGACATTTGTTGGTTCAAATTCTGGCTCAGTCTTTTTCACATGTGTAACATCAGGCAAGTGCCTTAATATCTTTCAGACTATGAGTACACAACTTTATGAGAAAGTGGAGTTAGCTAAATGAGACACTATGTAAAAATTAGCTGGTATGGTGCCTACCTGGTCAATACCAATTTATCACTATCACAAAGGAAAATCAAATTTCCTCTACCATAGAATAAAGAATAAGAATGGATGAAATCAGCATTTCTCCCCAAGGACAGGACCTGTCTCTACTTCGCCCTGAGCCTTAAGGTAGATTATCTTCAAATGCAAGACAGAGAAAGTAGGTCATTTACTTTTCTTTTAAACTCACTCAGCAATTCTCCTTCTAGGCCCCTTTAAGCAGTTTTTCTCACTGTAAGGAATGCCAACAAAAGTCAGAAAGCCTTGCTTCTTGTGTGGGGGTGGCAAGCACACAGTTGGCATTTCGGAGAAAGGAACCACAGGCACAGCACGGCTTCTGACAACAAAGGGCCCACCTTGGTTGAAGTCGCACTGCTTCTTGGCACCTGAAGGCACTGTTTTGTGGACTCTCATGAGCTGGCGTTCCTGCTCTCCCCTCACACTCTGACTGACTGGATACAACATGCTCTGTCTCCTGCAAGAAGAAACAGCAAAAGTAGATGAGCTGTCAACAGCAATCAGTTCCATATCATTATTAAGCCGGAAGTGGGTCTCAGGGCAGGGAAGCAGAAAAGCATAACACATTCTGCTGACTGTAATATGGGAAGGGAGCCAATTCAGAGGTCCAAATTCTTAAAAGCTTCTGTCAATCAGCTGCTGCAAGATTACAGAATAAAGAAAAAATAATAATAATGAATCTAATGTCCAAAAGATATGGCATAGCCTTACAACAAGAATTTTACAGATATTAAAAATGACCTCATGGAAGAGTATTGAATGAATAGATACATCTGAAAAGATAATTCATAGAACAATATTTATAGAATAGGCTTGTTTATGCAAAAATAAACATATGTATGAATGTTCACATAGACACATACCCCACACACACGAGATTGGAATAAGTTGAATCAAAATTTTAACTGTGACTAACTCTGAGATGTTATGTTTATTTATTTTTGGAGCCCATATATATTTTCTCAGTTTTCTACAATAAACAAACATTATTTCCATAGTAAGAGAAAAATTTAAGTTAATCTGAAAACTAAAGAATAAATAATTTTTATAAATTTCAGATCCCAAGGGTCCTTGATATCTCTCCCTCATCCTGCCCTAACCAACAACACACACACACTATTGCCATTGGCTACACTGCAGCTAAAGAAACCACAATGTGGGTTAACCATGATGCAATTGCTCATTAACTTAAAAAAATTCCAGAGTGCTAAACACTCTACAGAATATCATAAACACACCAAAACTAAAACTAATCTGGATTCAGTACAAAGACATGCATACATACCAAAAGTGAAAGATTTATATATACTCCACAGTTCCACTACTATCATCCTCAAGCTATGTCAAACCTCTAACTAAAAAATTTTCTTTAGAGTAAAATAAACCTTCTTTAACCTAGTAAAAGAGATGCTAAAACAAAAATCTGTGAAAATTCAGTAACTCCAGATGGGTACCATTATACAGGATAATTATTCAAGTAATACAATGAATTTAGGTCTTCTGATGCAATATATTATGGTCACAATAGAGACCCAGCTCCTCTGTTAGGGTGTGGGTTGAAGTCATTACAAGTGTCAATGTGTCAGGTGTCTTAGGAATCATGTTTCCAGCACACTAGAACAACATAGTGAGGCAATTTGCTAAGAAGTCATCACAAGCCTCTAAAACAAAATCATATGAATGCCTTCATAGGAAAGGGGTAAAATAGGTACAGCTGGGCAGAGCTATAGGAAAGGAAGGAATTAGCCCTATGAAGATCCTCTCTTAAATTCTTCAAAGCCTCCAGCTTCAGATAAGAAGACACACCACATGAAAAAGTTTCCATTAGTATGCACTAATTCCCTAGACTAAGTAGTTGCTGGAGGAAAATTCTATAGCTACCCAAATATTTGTCAAATTCCCCCATACAATGATTTTCATGTGAGACAGAGTTCTGCTACTTGTTCAGTGTATAAGCTTGGCCAAATTATATAAATGATGCAGTCTCAGTTTCCTTTTCTGTAAAATGAGAATAATACCATCAGTTCCACAAGTGCCTGTCAACTGGAGGCATACAGCAGAAACCAACTACTACTGATAACAATATTGCTTTTATAAAAATTTTCTTAAAGCTCAATATTCAGAACCTGGTGCTCAAGTAATCCTTGGAGAATTCACCCAAATGAGTTCAGCAAAAGAAAACCCATTTTTGTGATGGAATGCTTATTTCACTTTTTTATACTAATAGTAATATTATTTTAAACGTTATATTTAGAAGCCTCCATAGATGTAGGCCTTCAGAAATGGCCCTTTCTAAACTAAAAAGTTTAAACCAAAAATGTCCATTTTACTAAAACTTTATCTTTTTAGGAAAGCATAGTGTTTGTTTGTTTGTTTGTTTTCAAAGACAGTATTTTATCTAACTCTTTGAACCCTCAAAGGGTTGAGAAGGGTGAGAAAGGCCAAACACTGCTGGATTACCTTGGATCTAGGATGTATCTTAGAGATGAATAACAACAACTTTAGAGAAAGTGCCTCCTTAATATGCTTAGATCAGAGATCTCAAAGGACTGCAAGAGAAGAAGTCTTCTCTAGAACGGGAAGACATGAAGTATTTGGAAACAGCTGACTATCAAGTCTGTGATTCAAATGGGGAAAAGAGTGGCACTGTCACCTAAGTTTCTTTTCCCCACCAAGAATTTCAAACCTCAAGATGGTAGGGAGAATTGAGGAAGACTAAGTAAGAAGTCTGATACAAATTATCCTAATACTGATGAATGGAACAGGCTCTCATGTGATTGTCATGACAGGCTGCCCTTCCCAATGTCAAAAGTTAGATCGTGCTTCAAAGTTCTGATCTCCAAGCCCCCCTCAGACCAGAAACCCAAGCACAGCCTTTCTTAGAAAATGCTGAATTTATTCGTCCATCCAAAGATCCTTATGATCTTGGAAAATATTTCACTCATAAGAAGAGGAATAAAGATTTTTTAGTTTAGTTCCTTCCACTCCATTATTTCCTCATGGAATGACCACCTGTGGGCCAATAGCTCCAACAAAGCTTACATGGGAATCAATGAGCCTTCAGATACTTATAATTTCTAGGCTTTAAGTCTTCTAGCTGATGCCCCAGACAGCCTGAAGCAGACATAGGCCTTCCTACTGTGCCCTAAGTGAGTTTCTGACCCACAGAAACCATGAAAGGTAATATATGATTATTGCTATTTTAAGTTTTGTGGTTATTTGTTATGCAACAATAGATAACTAAAACACATTATCTTTCCTCTATTCTAAGATACCATCAATTATAAGCCATCATTGGTTGGATTACATAACAGTCTTTTAGGAAAAAAAAAATAATGGCACATTAAATGCATCCATCAATTTTAAGAAACATTCAAAATGAGAAAGGTGAAAGTCTGAACAGATGTGTGCATTGACATTAAGGAACTACACAGCATGCCCAGGACAGCCTGACATGTGACAACCCAAGAAATCCCAACACAAGAACCTTACAGGGAACAGGGAAGAAAAACCCAAGCCTTAGTTGTCTCAACTTTAAAAAATAATTTCATGCTTTCTCCTAAAGAAAGAAGACAGAAGAAATGGGGCTATCACCTACTGAATTAATAAAACAGTAGCTTTCAAAGGTCTTGTGCTGCTAGCTGCCATTTATTCATAAAGATATAAAGGAAAAAGTACAAAATGAGAATAGTAGTACTCAATCAAATTTATCTATAAGAGATTTATTTAGCATGAGAGGCGAAGGCTTACTTCCTTGGTAAACCTGTTTCTCTGTTCCAGTTGGACTCCACCACCTGGTCAAAGTTAACTAAGGCTGCCAAAGACAGTCCTTAGAGTAAATAATGTATTTGTAAAAGATTGAGAGTTAACATTTTGTCTCCATCCCCCATCCCAAAATAGGTGACAACATCAAGAAAGGAAATAAAGAACACATTTGATCACCTTTGCCCATTTACACTTCATCACTCTGTTTAGAATTGGCTGTAACATTCAGCTCAAAAGTTCTAGAACATTAAAGTAGGGTATGTATTCTAAAATAACTGAGATATATTTTTACCTGAAAACAATCACTACTGTATATAAACCATTTTGATATTTAAGAGGGTTATAGAGAAGTAAATAAGACAGTCTTGCCCCCAAAGAACTTTAAAATCTACTGTTTTCATAGACTAAAGGGTAAGACAGCAGATTCTAACTTTTTACTTCTATGTTAATGTGTCTGTCAAATGGTCAGATCCAAGCTGACCAAGTGGAATGACGGAAAAGGCCAAGATCCTCTGCTCCATGCTTGGTCTTCCTGCTACCTGGCTAACTGTAGCCTGGATGGGCACCTGGAAGAAAGGGCATCGCACATCTTTTCCTGTTCCCTGCCATCTTCCTCTTCCTGTACCCTCTACCTCACCCCTAATATGTCCCAAGTCTGCCTCAGTGGGGTCATTTGTTGGTTCTCTGCCAAATGCAGGGACCATCAGACTGACTACGTTCTGAGATAGTTCATAAGAAAGCTGTCCATGAAACAAACATCATTTAGGCTATTTATCTGATCCAGGTGCAGAGGCTAGGACAGTATACATGATAACAAAAGGAAAGCTATTAACTCAAGAGGCTCAAAACCCAAACTTGGTTAAGGAAAAATTAGCTGCCCCTAAACCAGAATGGTGAAATATGATATTTTGTTCTTATTGGGATTTTAGTGAGTTCAACTGACTCTTGTAGGACTTAGGATAATCTAGTTTTGATCAAATGGCATGGCCGTTGCTTCAGGCCCTTCCAAGTTCTTCCATTCGTACAAATCCGTGGCCATAAAGAAAAAATGAAAACAATTTTTCCATTCTAATCGCAGTTCTTGCCCATCTGCTCTGTCTGAAAGTCAGAAAGTTACCTTTGGCTCTCAAGTATATACACCCTCTAAATCTTCCTTCGAAGATGTGATCAATCAAAACACCACATCTTCATCTTCTCATACTTGAGGTTTCCTCTGTGTCCCTTCCATTGCAAAATTGATAAAACCTTATTTTCTTCAACCGCTAGATTAAATGTTAAATTAAATGGTTCTGTAGCTTAATCACTCTATTGTTAACAACAATGCCTTGCATTTATGAGAGCAAGTACTTCCCAAAAGCTCTAATTAAGACATGATTAATATATCTGACAGCATATAGTTTGGAAAATCTTACATTTTCAGTTCTTAAGGTGAACAAGAGAAAGTGTTGTAAATCTACCATGTCCTATGTCACCCAAATGTCTCTTTTCTTACCCTTCACACATCTGTGAAAGTGACTTGATGTCCTTCTGAATAATTGGGGAATTTTATAGGTGTTTATATCCTGATAAAAGAAACTATTGGACTATTACATTTATGTTATAACTGGGTTAAAGGGGGTCCTGTAAGAGCTGATTTACATTTCCTTTCAAAAATGTGTGTCTATTATTTCAAATTTTCTGGCCCTTTAAGAA